ATGGAATGAAAGAGACTAAGAGCTCTGTCATATCCAATAACAGATTATCAGGTAACTCTGTGGTATTTAACTTTTTACTATTTCCATTAAATTCATGTATTCAATATCATCTGAAAAATGTACTGCATTAATACAGTGCTTTGCAAGGCGATGGCCTGGACATCAGGGGAAGCTGGGGTTCAACGTCTTCCTCAAGGACACTTCAACACATGGACAGGAGACAGAAACCAAACCACTCCACCTACTGAGCCACAGCCTCCTCTACCTTTTTTTTTTTTTTGCACACTTGAAAAAATCCTTTAAAAGTTTGAAATGCCTTGTCCTTAAAATAACCTACTGGCCTTGAAGCTACCACCTGTCCACTTGTATTATGGTATTTGGTGTGTAGTCATCAGTTATTACTAATTAATTATGACTAATTATATTATTTCCATTTTCATTTCAGCAACAATAATCTAAAGAAAAGAACTGTATCGCTGTTGTTTTCCATGAAGAAAATGTAGTTACTGGGCATCTGGATGGAAACAGTCGGAGGACTGGCTGAGCTGTGTGAGAAACAGCTTCTGGGGAAGACCAGACTTGTGGGAGGAGAACCAAAATGACCCGGTCCTGACTCCAGCGAGGCCACACAGGCACAATGAGGAGGGATGGAAAAATAGCACCAAACAAAGAGAGAAAGAAACTACCTCATCCTGAAGAAAGAAGCTTGTAATGGAGAGTGACAGAAGCTTGGCCAGGTCCAGCTCCAAGAGTGAGATCTCAGCCCAGTACACCCTTTGAATGTGTTGTCAGCAACTATAAGGATCCTGTTATAGCAGCAAATATACTGGATGAGTTTGACAGGGTAGTTTGATTACACAATGCTTTGGCACTTGTTCCAGACCTATGTGGAGCTCCATGTTTCCAGCTTTAGCCGTGGTCACAAAGTTCAGTTACACCCTCAGTCATAGTGCTCATCAGACTGTATGGGCAAGGCGCTCTCTTAATGTCTTGGGACAATGAAACCCAGAGACTCCCCGCCCGTGCAGAAAGAGCCTAATTAAACAGTGCAGCAGCAGAGTGAGGGCCACACCTGCATGTGCGGTTCATGTTAACCACACCACACCCACCTCAGCTGTTCACCAGGCAGTGAAGAAGAGAAAGCACGGCAGAGAGTAACTGTGCATCCAGATTTATCCCCAACTGGTCATGTATTATTAGACAGAAGTGCTAAACAGATGTTTAAGGGAAGCGGTTGTCGTAGTTTGTCATCAGCCGACGTTAAATGAGCCGTTAAAACCAGCTTGAAGGACGGACCTCTTATTCTAATACTTTCAACTTAAAACAAGTGATGCTGGGCTGTAATTTGTAATTTGCTGCTAGGAATGATAAAAGCAGCATTTATAAACAGCCCGGCCTTGTATTCAGCAGGTTATTATTATACCTAAATGGTATAATAAATAATATCCTAAACTTGAGTGAAGTAATGAGTCACCAAATGTAAGGCTCACTAGTGTGTAAGGTGCAAGACTGGTAAAATACAAATAAAATAACAGAGCAAGACACTGAAGATGAAGAGGGATCCCAACATTCATCCCTCCTCAAACACTCAAAAAATGCCTCACTGATATATCTATGAACGCTCTGATACCCTCTGTACACCAAATTTAGTCAGTATAACATATATATATATACACATTTTACACTGCCAGCAAGTTTGCCTTTCTGTTCAGACTGAGGACATACACACAACTGCAGGGAGCAATGTCATCATCACGGTTACAGAGCACACACAGACAGTGTGTTTTTAAATCTTATTTCGTGGCTGCAGCTCACTCTCTCATACTTTCATCCTGAGCTCATTGTAGCGGCGGTGTTTCTGGTTGAGCAGCACCGTGCTGGACAGTTGACCGGTGTGTTTAAAGTGTCTGTTCTCTGAAAGAGGTTACAGCAGGAAAAGAGGCGGAAATTAGTGGGTTCACAAAGGTGTTATGCTTACATCACTGCCGATTGAACCGATAAATACCTGTGTCTACTGCAGTCATTTGTGAATGCCGACTGTTCCCTTTCCCATTGCCGACAAAAACCTGATGTGAGTGGGTCTTAGCGGGTTTTTTGACCCGTGGAAAAGGGGCTCGAGACACTCTAGATGTTGACTGAGTGGACAATCCACAGTTAAGACAGTTAGTCTGGAGAGACTAGCTAGCAGCTCTTTAGCACAGTGGTGCTCTGAGCTAAATGCTAAGCTCACCATGCTAACATCCTCACAATGACACTGAGACCATGTTACTTTAACTGTCTGTTGTTTTTATTATTTTTATTGTGTTTTTAATCTTCTGTAAAGTGTCCTTCAGTGCTGTGAAAGGCGCTGCCAAATAAAATGTATTATTATTATTATACTAGCACATATAACACTTACCATCTTACCATCAATATCTCCAGGGCTATTCTGATGTGATGTCATGCTAAGACTTATAAATTAGCACTTAACTCATGTTTGACCATAAACCAAAGTATTCTTAGATGTGATGATGGCACAAGATGAAAAGAATCAATAAGTACCACATTTCATGGCAATCCATCCAACAGGTTGCCAAGTCATCTCGCTGTACACTGAAAACGTCGACTTTATGGCGGCATTGGAAGAAAAAAGGTTGGATCACCAGAGTTTGTAGAATTCATCATCTGGGGAATATGAACATCTCTACAAAATAACATGGAGTTCAATGTTTGCTGAAAAGCTTCACTCTGGACCTAAAAACCCTGAACTCAGGCGCAGGAAGAAGTTCATAATTATAATTCACTAACCAGCTCTGCTCTATGTTGTTTGTCATGTAATTACATAGTGACAACATGACTTGCACGGCCACAAAATGCTTCTAGTCCTGGAGATACATTTGTTGTTCAGTTCATGTTTTCATTCAGAACCTCTTAAGCCTTTTCCACTCAGACATTCACTGCTTGAAGAGCAAATGATGGACCCTGTTACTGAGCAAGAGAAGCAAAGAAAAGGAGTGAAATGATAAAGATAGGACACAAGGATCTGTGTCACATGCACTCATACACACATACATATGGAAAAACATAATGATACATCTCTCTTGTAATCTCTAATTGTCTCTCTCTCAAACACACACATCTCTCCACCACCACATCACACATACAGAAAGCCTGTAGTAAAGTCATGTGGGAGCCGTGTCCTCATCACCACCAGCAGCCTCACTGTAATCGTTGTTGTTTTCCACTGTCCCAGCTACCACCACTCCCACACAAACCAGATCAGCCAACTCCAAACAGCTACAGCCGCTCTGCTGTTCATTCAACATGACTCAGAACAAAAAATGTAACACACATATTCTCCCACTGAGCAGCATCCCATTCATATTTATTTTTATAGCATCAATTAGCAAATGCAAGTTCTCACAGGAAGACTAACAGTCATGTACTGTATCAGAGATTTAAAGCAGTCAGCTGACATAGTTAGGTGTAAAGGTCAGTCAGTAGTCAGTAAAGTGTTAGCGTGCTAATTAGACAGAAATATCCACACAAACGTGTCTTCAGTGTGACCCTGTTGTCACTGGATTTAAAAAGACAAACTGACTCAGCAGAAAGTTGGTATAGGCTTTTAATTCTAGGGTTCACGTAACTCAGTCTGACTGACTGTGGGTATAAGCTTTCCATCCTCTGCGTATTACTGAAAACAACAACATCCTAGCTACCTACACGCTGTAAATAGCAAGTTTTGACCAAGATTTGGATTGTGCAGTAAGACAGGCCTCGTTGGTTCCTTTGGTGAATGGTTGTAAAGATCTCCAAAGGATTTGTTGACAACATTTGCTATCTAAGAGGGACATTCTTGCATCTTTACCCACCATGGAAAAACTTTCATTTTCTAAGCTAATGAGCCAGTGAGGGTAAACACAGAGAGATGACGTGAAGATGCCATAGGTTTGGTGGCATCCCCCCTCAAAATAAGGGAGGACGTGGTTAAAACACTGCAGTCAGCTGGGGTAGATGCAGCACACAGCGGGGCAAGATCCAGACACGGATGAGAAAATGCCAATACTTAAGCTCCACCAGAGCTTAAGTATAGACAGGCCTCGCCTCTAGGGCACCAATTATCATCATCATTATATTTGTCTTTTATCAGTAAAAGTTGTATCACACAGTTGACTATGTCTTTTAAAGAAAGTGCTCAACTCCCCATGTGCAAATGTTCCACCAGAATATTGAACTCAATTTATAGTCATATTATTCCCAGATGTGCCTATAATCTGATCACTTTTGTCTATAACTGTACTGTATTTTCTTTTTGTTAGGATTACTCCATCCAGGTGAATGTAATCTGTTTCTCTTTAGATTTGGGGATATGGCTTTATGTTTTTAACTCTGTATGAGTTGGTTCTTGGAGTTTTTTTGTTTCTTTTTTTTTTTCATCCATTCTAAAGGATTTGGCAAGGGTGATACCGTAAAACATAACTGAAAAATATAAACTCTAAATCTTCTTGAATTTCAAAAATATCAGTCTCCAGTCTCGGTGTAACCTTTAAGCATCCAGATGATCAGCACTGCTGCACTTTTAAATCAAAGGCTTTTACATAAGAATACTGACATCTTTAGAAAATTTCAAAGGTTTAAGTGATAAAAAAAAAAGCAGAGTTGGACACTGGTCAAGAGCACTTTCATGAGAGAAAGGGCTATGACATCAGTTTAGTCAGTTGAGAGCGCTTCAAGCACTTAGCAAAATATAACAACTGCAAAGCCAAATGGAAAATACTCTGCTGTAATGTCTGTCTGCCCCTGAACGAGTGGACAACTGCATTGCCATTGAAGATGTTTGGAGGATATGGCAGGGATATCCTGTGTTACCTTCAGAATATTTAAATCAGGTGCTGCATGCTGTACTGCTGAGCTGCTAGGTTATCTGAAAAACTTTGTTACCTAAGACTCAAAGTCCTTCACAGCATCATTTTGCCTTTTTCCAGAAGTTGACATAAGACTGAACTGGTTGCCAAACTTACCCATTCTCTTGGTCAGCGACTAAACGATGAAGTGTTCCCAGGAGGGTTCATAGTTTCAGCTCGTGGTTCTCGTCTTCTTCCCTGCAGACTGTCTGTCTCTGTCCTCTCTTTCACTCACTCTAACTTTGTCTTGCCCTGTTCCCCTTTCTTGGAGCCCAGCTGGGCCAACCACCACCAGAGCCTGCTGGAGTACAACTGCTCAGAGTCTAAACGTGACCGGCCTTAAAGGTTTTTCTTGGGGAGAAAAAGCCCACATCCCACTGTCAGTCAAGCGGCGGAGCATAGTTTCAGCTGGGCCGCCATCCAAACAGACATGAAACTATTCTATTTCGGTCTGCCATATGAGCAGTGGTGCTGTTCAGAGAAGGGGGGGGGGGGAGATTCAGTGCAGGAGCATGTAATTGCAGCTTGACCAGTTATGGCGAGATGTAATTGCAGACCTCATCAGATGGAGAGAACTGCCAGCGAGAAAAGGTAAAGGACTTTTAAATAAGTTAGTTTAAAAAAAAGAAAAAGAATAAGAAAAGAAACAACACAGACCACATAAATAAATGAGGGGCTGGGTTCCAGATGTGGCAGCAATGGGAGTGAGGGGAGGAGAAGAAAGAGAGGGAGGGACAGAAAAGAAGGCCAGATGAAGGAACTGCCGTGGCAGCAGAATGAAATCCCATTTCTGACACGGTGAAAGGGTGTTTACCTTCCCAGGAACAGTCGCACAAGAAGGAGAGGGGGGATTGGGGAAGGTGAGAGGATGTCGGACCGGCCGTATGTTGTTTCTGGCCCTTCACCATGAGTGCTCCTAGGTGTCTGGTTTCACGTCAGCCTTGGAAATGACTACCTTATGGAAAAATTGGGAGCTTTAAAGATGAGGAAGGAAAATGAAAATATAAACGGCAGTCGGCTGTTTCCCATTACGAGCAAGACTCAGCTGGTCTGGGTTGCTGCAGTTAATATGGCTACGTATTCTTGAGTGAATAATTACCATGTGATTATGTGAAGGGGGCGGCTCCACGCGCACTCCCATGTGCACATAAGGGCCTGTTACACTAGATAGAGTCAATAAATATTAGCTTTAGCTTAAATCTGAACGTAAACAGCTAATTTCCTCACAAATTTTACCTCATTTCCTGGTGAAAGCATCAGGAGAGTGGTCATGGAAGCACATTGCTATGTGTGAAGGTAATCCTTAGCTAACTATTCCTTTAGAGGAATAGACCAGCATTTTGGGAAACAAACTTATACAGAACCGAAGTTCTGACATTCTTTCCAGAATTTTGTTATCATACATTTTTCCAACCTTTCAGCTTTAATCGTAGTCCTCTATGTCCTGCTGGTGATCTGGGCTGACTGTGGCCCCTTGACTCACTCATAGCCTCCCCTCTGTTGTTGAGGCGTGATGTCAAAGTTATAGTTGGGGTTATTTGAGGCAGGGTTGTGTGAGGTAGTTATCTGTAGTATGTGTATTGCCTGCAGTAGATTCGGATCAGCGTGTTCCCAGTTTAGAGAAGCAGCAGGAGCACCTGTGGACGGGGACATCTGCAAAAATTTGTTTTAGCTACTCTAAAAAAGTCTAAGCTAAAAGCAAATATCAGTTCAGTGTATATAAAGTGTTGTTGAATCGATGAATACTGTATTAATACGCACAAATGCACCTACAGTCCTCACTGTATTAGACCGCAGATCAGGTGAGTCAGACACGGTTCCTGTTCCAGTGCTCCTGCTGCTTCTCTTAACTGACAGGGCACCATTCTGCTACTGCTGCAGGTAATACAATGACTATAGATAGGTACTTCACTCAACCCCACGTCAAATAACTCAAACTATCACTTTAAGCCTTCTACAGTCTAAGGATTATGGGAAATGGTGTATGTTAAAGCCTGCGTAAAACAGACAAACTTAGTGAACAACAATATTACATAAACTTCTGTGTCTAAACATACTGACCTACTGTTGAGTAAGACCCCAGATTTTTTGTTATTCACATTTTTCAGTCTGATTTTGAGTGAAGTTTTCTTACTCTTGGCGCAGAACCCAGACGTTCAGACTTCACTTTGGCTCTCTGAAGAGGAATGATACCACTCTAAGTCTGTATGCTAAATATGAAGCTAGAGGCAGGGCATGACTGTAGCTTAGTATTAAGATTTGAAACAGGGGGGAAACAGATGGACTGACTCTGGTCAAAAATTTTAATCTCTAAGTAATTTCTGATGCTGAAGGTGCTTTTTCTGTTATTGACTTTCTCTGTTGTTTGTATTTGAAGCACTGTGGTGCTGACATGTATGAATTCATAGTGTCTTGTTAGCCAGTGCAGTAATAAAAATGTCATTCATTCATTCATTCATTCTAAAGCAAAATAGGTAACACACTATCTTGGTTGGTTTCTGCATAAACTCATCAGCATGGCAGCCCAATTTTACCTTTTTATTTAAGCCAAAGAAGTTTAGTTTAAACCCATAGGAAGCTGTATTTACTTTGGTCAGAGCTAAGCTAGCTGTTTCCCTCTGTCTCCAGTCTTAATGCTAAGCTAACCTGCTTGCTGGCTCTAGCTTTATAGTTATCCTACAGAAATAAGAAACTGTATAATGTAAACAGTCATACACGGAACTGAAGTGAAACTGGAACTTAAGGGTACTGTAACAGAAATATGAAAACTTAATTTAAAATGACATTTGTAACTATGCTAATAACTAAAATCTAGCCTTTGAGCATGACATCACTCAACAGTTTGTCATGTGGTTTACTCCATATGGCCAGATAAGGACAGTCATTAAAAAAAAAAAATTCTAATATCATTTTTTGGTCAGTATTTCTGTTTTCAGAGGCCTTCAGCGAACACAATTTCCCATAAGCCCAAGAGAATCTGACAAAATGTTACAGCTCCACAAAAATCCATGGACTCTCCCATTTTAGATGTTTTACACAAAAGAAATTACTGCTAAAAAAGATATTGAGAAAAGCTTTGGTGATTTTTACATATATGGATTGAACCAAATCACAAATATGGAAAGTAAGGCCCAGGAACATGTTTTATTTTTTCAGAGAGGCAGATGAAAGAAAGAAAGAAAGAAATGCTGAATGAGAGACTGTGTTCAGTTACAGAAGCTGGTTGAACAGACTCTAGCCTGGATATGACGTTGTGATTTCGGCTCTCTGTTTCCCAAAACTATTCAGTTAAAACATTAAAAACAGGAGCATCTTCCAAACCCTCAGGTTTGAAATGCATTTGCGGTGCATTTTTCTGGGAACTGGACCAGTGGCACGTCTTCTCTCTGGAGATGGGGGCTTGCTTCTCAGTTTCTCTTATACGAACCATCTAATTTTCAACTGGAAGGGCCCCATTCGATGCAGCTGTGTGTCATTAGGACTGCTTTTCTCATTGGCATTGTGGGATTGTTAGATTACTGCCGAGAAAGAAGCCTAAAACCAAACCGACCCACGAATCAGCCCTCAACCTCCCGTCCCCCTCAATTATCAGAATATGGAGAAGAGGGGAGGGGGTTATTTTTTTTCCTCCACAGTCAAGCACGAAAAGTTTCCATGTGGATTCCAGCATGGCTCCGACTTCAGCACTGATTGTCTCCAGACAGACGGACAGACAGACACGCAGACAGATAGTGAGGCAGAGAGAGAGCATGAGTGGAAAGGCTGTAAAAACAACTGACAGATGAGGGTTTTAAGGCTTGAGGGGGAATAAGGCACAAATCCCCTTTTCTGTTTATACTCAAACAGCATAAGTTCACATATTAGTCACACATATCCTCTCATCTGAGAATGAATAAGTCATGCAGTCGAACAGTTGGCATCATAACCAATCATTTAATGCTTTAAATGTCTATAGTGTGGACACGGTACGCCTGGTGTTGATATTTGTTTTCTTTTTTTTTTTTTATTGGAATTCATCTAAATGAAATGTTTTACAAAAATACATCTTTTTCCTCAGTACTCACAGTCCCTGTGTGCTTGGGTGCGATGCACATAGTGACAAATATCCTGTATTTGCTCTGGTGCACACTTGGCATCCATCCGTGCAACCAAATAGGATCAAGTGTATCCTGTTTTTCACTTTCACCCTTATTGAATGGGCTCATTATCCCCTCAATTTTCCAAACCTACATCCCGTATTTATCTTCTAAAAAGCGAAGGGCCTTTATTTGTTTTATTCTTTTTAGCTCTGTCTGTGATTTTTCTGGAAACACTGTACCTCAAATCATTAGAAACCACTGGCAGTGCGTACAGGGTGTGTTATTGTTGGGAAATACAACATCAAAATGTGTAATTATGTATTTGCGTCAGAGTTATCTGCACTAGTTTGTGCAATTAATGTGATTTATGTGAAATTAATGTTTTGTTTCCTGTTACTGCCTTTCAAAATACAAGATTCATGTTTCATTTTGCTCTAATGATGTTCACCTTTTCTTGAACAGCAACAAAATCTTCTAGTGGAGACTAGTTGGAGCCGGTGAGGGTTGAATGCCTCACTAAAGGACGCCTCAGTGCTGTTGTTAAGAGTCCCATATTTTACATTTTTCCAGTGTGTTTACAGTTTTCAAGTGTTGATTCATAAAAAGATATATTTGTGGTTTTAAGAACCAAAAACCATCTCAAGATAGTTTTACATCTCCTCTCTTAGGCTTCTCTCTGAAGGTCTCAGAGAAACCAAACCCTACAAAGTTGGACGGTGGGCCCAGGTGGGCGGGGCTTGCGGCAGAGTGGTGCTGCTTTGTTGTGACATCACAAAGTTCCAGAAGTCCTGACGGCTGGTTTTAAGGCTCAGTTTCTGAATACAGGCTGTGTGTATTTCTCTGTGGACTGAGGCTTTGATACTTTCAGAGTATTAATATACAACCTAGACCTGCTTTATAATCAAGCTACACATGGACAGAAACCTTTATACTATATGGGACCTTTAAGTTAAGCATCTCTTCAGCTTGATCAGGATTTGAGCTCACAACGTTTTTGCTCTGTAGTTTGGAGAGAAGTTTGTTCATGTGACGCATCATGTGTGTCAGCAGAAGCAGCAGGAAGTTGATTTGTGTGAGTCACTGACTTCAAGGAATTTACTGTCATACAGCTACAGTCTGCATTGAATAAGAAGCGCATCTTCTTTTCAAAGGCAATTTACTTTCTTTTCATTAATCGAAACCCATCAAAACCTCACATCCTTGTTATGAAGCATTGGTGGGTAATTTGCCGCCGTGATATGCATTCAGGAGTGTTCAACAGGTCAGTGTTTTTACACCTCATTGTTGTTCATACAAGAGTAGAAAACCTTATGCAACCGATTCATCTCTTGTATCATCTTACATTTCCTTCTCACTCGCTCAGGGTTGAGATCAATTGTGCAGCAGCCTTAGAAACACCTGCTGAGGTGGTTCACGTTCATCACCGGAAGAGACTTTGATGCTTTTGTGACTTGAGTCAGACCTGTGAGACTCTGCAGTGTTGTGTTCCACTCAGACGTTTGTAAAGAAGATAATTGTATTGCCACCTATTGGAGTGCTGTTGTAAGAACAAGAGAACCCCAAACTGTTCAGTCATCCCGGATCCTGCATGTGACTGCACATCTGATGATTAAAAATGAGCCAGTCTGTCAGTTGTCTTAAGTGCAGTATGTAAAGACAACTTGAACAATGTATCGTTGTGTGAGCTGTATCTGAAATGGAAGAGAATACATTTAGTGTCCTGTTTATGCCAAAACAGACAATCTTTTGAATAATGTTTGCACTTGTATGTGGAAAATAGATTTATGGAAATGGAAATATATAGTGATTCTGATTGATCTGAATGTTGTGCATTAACCTCCACTGGAGCTAAAGAAGAACAAGTCTGACTGCAGGTTTGACTGCCTTTTATTTAGCAATTACCCATGCAGTTATTGTCTCGTATTATCATGTATCTCAACATATCCATGCTGCTGTGGCGTCAGTCAGTGAATCTGATGTGTTTATACCTGCCCAACAGTGTTTTTGTATGACTGTGGATTTCATTTTTGCGAAATCATAGATGCATGCGACACATTTTTCAGGATGTGAGTGTGTATCTGTTGGTGGGAAATATTATCAAATTTATAACCAATGAATTACAAATCACTCTAGGTTCTACTTCAGATTTGTCATTTATAATTTATGGGCAATATTTATTAATATTCCAACAGTTAATGTACAAATATAAGCTTTTCAACCTCTCAATCATTCAGTCTCTTTCTACACCTAAATGCTTAAAAACCTTTGAAGAACAACACAAGTACCCCAAACCCGAGTGTATCTAAAATACATTTTAATCTTGCTGAAATTTGTTTTCACAATATTGTTTACAATATTAATCTGTCTTCGTTCTCTTCATCCTCGCTCGGGTCTTCGTTATCGTCTCGAAACAGAACTGTACAATCATGTTCATGTAAATTGTTCTACATCAAGGCACAAGACAACAGCCGTTGTGGGGGGGCCTTGGGTAGGCTGATCTTTAATGGCGTCCCTCTGGCACACAGAAAAACAGGGTACCCTCGGGAGGAAAGGAGAAGGGGGGGGGGGGTAAATATGGAGGATGTATGTAGGATGGAGTATAGATCTCAAATGGGAAGCATCGCATGGAAGAAATGTGCTCTAACGAGGTGAAAGGAGGAAGAAAATAAGGTGATAACCACTGCTGCTTTCATTTTATTTTTCCAATGATAGTCATGTATAAAAAAGAGGAACCATTAGGATGTCTTTTTTTTTTTCTTTTCTTCAGGAGTTCATTTGTTCATGTACATAAACTAAAGTGCTTTTTTTTTCTCTTTTTTTTCTCTTATTTGCCAAAAGCAAAAGGTTTCACTAACAGGATGGAAATGGGGACGAGGAGTCCTGTGACATCTTTTTTTCCCATAAGAAGGTGAGAGAGTGGATAAAGGGCCAGTTCAGTGTTTATTTTCCGCTTCGATTTTGTTTTTGTTGGTTTTTGCTCTCTGTTTTTTTCTGATGTTTTCTTTTTTTTTCAACCTCTGGAATAAAAGAAAGACAGAAAGAAAGATTGAATTATTACAGGATGAATCCAAAATGATATGAATCCATTTGTAATAAAAAAGATAATTCAAGTTAGGTATGACTATCCAAATCCTTGTGTTGCAACATGTAGTCACAAGTCACTTGTAGTCTTTATTTACCATTTCCCTGACGACCCTCACATCTGGACGCTTCTCCTCCGCCTGCCGAAGGCCTTGGCGCCGACGTTGGTGGGGACGAAGTTGCTGTTGCCCATTCCCCCCGACCTGCTGAGGAAGTCCGCCAGGCGGTGAGTCACGCAGGTTGCCGTGTTGCAGGCTCGCTTCTGTGCTGTAACGCTGCTTCAGGAGAGCAAACAATGGATTAACGCCGAGATCGGGTGTGACACGCATCTATGTTATCAACGTTCTCCTCACAGCACAGACAAAACATGATGATACAACACAGAAGTTAAAAAAATATACATCAAGCATGCAAAGTTTAGTGGTATATTTCCTGTAGTTTGTCATTTTTCTTACCTTTGGACTCGATGAGAGCTTCAGAGATAATTTCAAGTCAGCTTGTCTAAAACCCTATTTAATGTCCATTTAATGTCCATATTTGCAAATGAGTCCATGACTGTTTTAAAGCATCCCTAAGAATGAAAGTGAACTAACGCTTCCTGGTAGAAAAATACGTTTATTGAACAACAAACATGGTGTCGCATGAGTGGATCATTTATTAATGGTTCGATTAAGTGATCTCTCTCAACTCTTTAGTTTCAGGGGCTTTGAATTGCCATGAAATGGCTCCACGTACAGTACACAAAGATGGATGTCTGAACCAGATCCTGAATTACATTAATGAAAACTAAGTCTGATTGTCTGAAATGATCGGGGCAATTCATTCTCTGCCAAAAAAACAGAGGGGTGGGGGGGAGGGGTGGGGGGACTGAAAGGTTGGTTGCAGTTAAAGGCCATGTTCTTCTCATTTCAATCAAGCAGGTAAAATCAACATGCACTTGCCAGTCCCAAAATGATGAGGAAGAAACTGGGATGAGGAGAGTTAGAGGACAGGACAGGAGAAAAGGAAAGGAGAGGAAGAGGGGGAGGGGTAGGAGGAGATGTGGTAAAGGTAAAAGAGGGGCTGAGGGAGGATGAGGATGAGGAGGGGGTTAGATGCTGTCAAATGTCTCGCCGTAGCTTGCATAGCTGTCACTCTCAGGCGCACTGCGCTTCTTGCCGGGCGTTCCTGCTCCCACGTTCGTGCGAGGGAACGTCTGCAACTTGTGCAGCTCCTGAGACAGTTTGCCCAACACACAGGTGCTGAGGTTGGAGCAGCGCTTGGTTAGGGGCCTGTCCATGCTGTCGGGGAGGGGACACACAGAACACATGCAGAGAACAGGCTCATAGATATGAGAAAACATGCAGGTAACACTTTCTTTATCTCTTTTCCTTTTTCCTTTCACTCACGCTCCATTTCTCTCACATGCATTTCTTTCTCATGCCATCGCAGGTATCAAAAAGTAAATATGAAAACATTCCCCCTCCAAACACACACACAGACACACTCACACACTCACACACACACTAGTATCATGCTTTTCCTCCCTTCCCTTCATTCAAAGAACTTGTCATCCATCCCCTCATGCGCCAAAACCGCCATCCCCCACCCCCCCAGTCAATCCCCTCTTGTCGCATCGTTTACACCCACAGAACAAACAGAAACCAGTCGCTTCCCAATGTCATGCAACTTCACTTAATTGACATCATGCACACTTATTCGTTCCGTTAGGCACACACTGCTCACATGCCCGGCAGGCAGGCTGGAAATAGTCCCTTCAAACAAAGTCAAAATCAAACTCATCCATGCAGGAGCAGGGTCAAGACAGAGAATAGGGATTGTTTTTGTGTGTGTGTGTGTGTGTGTGTGTGCGTGTATTAGCATCTGTTCTTGGGAAGAATCAGTTTTTCTGTCTGTTGGTCTGCCGAGAAGTACATACCTCTACACCTGAGTGAAGTGAGGGCCCTAAAAAGACGCATCCTCAGTGGTGTCAAAGTGGAACCAGGAAATGGTTCCAGCTTAAAGTCCCTTATATTTAGGCCAAAAAAGTTGAGTTTAACCAGTTACCTTCTATCGTGTTATTAGTCAGCCTTCACTGTCTGTGTCTTCACAGGGAAAAAATGTTGAACACGGGTTAAAACAAAAGAGGAGTCATCTGTACCTGTTTCCTTCAGTCGCCTGCTGCTCCAGCTCCTCCGCCGTCATCTGCACAAACTCCTTCACGATGGCGTTGAGTAACCTTCGCGCCTCGTAGTCCGTGAGCGTGACTCGGTCTGACATGGACTCTAGACCCGGTCTGTGGTGAAGAAGGGGAGGGCGAGCAGGAGGAGGTTTAGGGGTCAGGAGGGTTGAGGGAGGACAGGCATTGAGATCAGTATTAAATCCCTCGCTATGGAATTATCACCTGCAGTTAAAAGGAGGGGGGTGTGTATGAGGGTGTTAGGGTGGGGTAGGGTGCCGGTCGACTGGCTGGATGGATAGGACGGGTCGGGGGGGAGGGGGCCGGTTGGCTGGGACGTCACCAACTCTGAGAGGGATGACGTCTGAGTTTGAGGGCCCCCGGCCAACGCGGGGGAAACAATCTGCGGAAAGTGCCCCATCTGAGAGAGAGGGGCTGATGTGCAGCCGGCTTCAGATTTATCACTAAATCGATAGCTTCATGGGAACAGTGAGGGGTGTGGCTTGAATGAGGCTTCATATAAATACATGGATCACATTTATCTCCCCAAGAAGTGAATTACACTTTTTTTGTCCTGTCTTTTTTCACTTCTTTGGTTCTTTTTTTGTTTCCATTTGCAGTTTGAGTAGTGTCATCAAATTAGATGACAGTTAAAATAAGCTAGTGAAACTTTAAATATTGATTAGGAAAATCAAATTAATAAGATATACATTATTTTACTACTTCAAAGTATGTGGTTGAAGACACATTTTCAACCTAAGAAATCCCAACTGTGCCTAAAATTTACCTCCATAAATTATTAAGATAAACAAATAATTCTGTGTGCATGCACATTGTTAGACCTGCTGTAGACTTGTACATATCTATATGTACATATCATGTATCTTGACATGTGTTTGCATCACTCTGTCCCTCTCATACACAAATCTTTCCTCAATTATTCATATTTTTCCAGCAGCACAGAAAACACATTGAGGCATCTTTTTGCCCCCGCTTGTCGACTCCTTCCCACTGGTTGCTTGTAATTCTACTGTTTGCATTTCAAGTTGCTGGAAAAATGCATGTCAGCTGAGAGTGTGCGAGTGCGAGTGCGAATGCGGAGCATCTCACCTGGCAGGGGCGGCTTGTGAGCAGTACATCTGGCAAATGACCAGGGCGTAGGCAACGAGGAAAGCAGAGATCTTCAACATAACCATGGTCCCCTACACAGCAAGAGAGACACCCCCCATCAGCTGCTTGTGCACAAGACTGCAGCCGTTCACACTCATACACCGCTAAAACAACAAGTTCTCAAGTCACTTAAAAATTCATCAACATACGTCTAAAAAAATATACTTTCAGGTGTCTGATCTGCTCGTGCTGTTGGGAGGAAGTTGCAACAAGACAAAAAAAAAAAGCTTTCTGTCATTTCCCCGAGAGGTGAGCTCAGCTCTACCCACATCCCAGCTTGCCACTATTTAGCTCTGGTCTCCTGCTGAACGTCTTCACTTTTACTTCCACAAAACACCCCTTCAGAACAATCCCCCCTACTCTTCTTCTGCAAAACGCACTGTTCCTCCAACACATCCAGCCAAGAGCACAGGACAGGTACTTCTCTCATGTCGTATACGCCTCAGGTTCTCAGAGTGTGGCATGTCTGTGGGTGGGAGTGTGTGTGTGTGAGTGTGTGTGTGTGTGGGTGTGTGTGTGTGTGTGTGAGGTTAGGTGGGGGTCCTAGACTGTGTGATGCATGTAGCACTTGCTAGCGCTGGAAGAGGAGGGGTGAGAAGCGAAAGGGAGGGGGGGGGCTCCAAGCTTGCCAACTCCCTAAGGGACCAGTGCATTAGTGTAATGAGCTGCCAGCACTCTCTCTCTCTCTCTCTCTCTCTCTCTCTTGCTCTCTCTCTCTCACCCACACACAGACACACACACACACACACACACTTAAACCTGCATCCTCCTGTCCATCTCTTCTTTCTTTTTTGCTTTTTCTTACTGTTCTTTACTTCAGCTTCTTCTCATCTTTGACCCCCTTTCTTCTTCTCTGTCTTTCTTCCCTTTTCTCTCTCTCACTCTGGCCTTCTAGTAGCAGACTGAACCCTCACAAAATGGGTGATGGTGGTGATACTGGTGACCCCAGTGGCCACACTCCAATCCCATTACCAACACAATCACGTCACCGCAGACTAATGCAGTGACTCTGTGTCCATATCCCCTCTGATCTACACACACATGCAAACAGCTTATCAGGTACATTTATAGTCAAACGGCCATTCCAACACTTTGCCCAATACAGCGTTAAAAGTCAACACTTACCTTCAGTGATAATCACCCAGCAAAAAAAAATTTTATAAATATAAATCTCTATGTATCTCTATGCAAAACACAATAAGTTGACTTTCTCTCAACTTGCAGAATAACTCTTGATTCTGTTGCATGCAGCGCCAACGCACCAGCCTATATATCCCACCACTTGGATTTGTGCATTGACTGTGTAGGTGTTTAATTATCCGCCGGCAGCCAATCACATCGCTCTGATGCTACGGTGAGCCAATGGGATGTCTCTCCTCAGTCCTGGCTCACTAATAAGGGATATGGCTTTGTGCTGACGTCATTCCTTAGTCACTAAGTGCTCCATTCACAAAATCCACCAGTCATTTTGACCATTTGCTATCCCCAATTTGCATTGATGTCATTAATTAAATAGGAGGCAAAGCAAACCGGTGGCCGTGGAGAAGCTTCACCAGCAATAAATATTTTAAGAACCTTCCAAAAATGTTACATTGCATGCTATATCTCAAATGCCAAATCGATAAGGGCGCCCCCCCCCCCAACCAACACCACCGCCACCCTCTCTGCTAAGCACTTGCAGGCGGGGCCATCTGCTGGGGAGGGATGTATACTACACAGTGACGCACTCCTGGGCTCTTCATTCATAACACTGTTTGGATAGCACCAACTCCAGCACTACACCCACTGCGCTTCAGCTCAGCATAGACCATCTACAATCAGTTTATGTAATCCGCTTGTTATTGATTTGATTTGGGGCAAAATGATGTGATTCACTGCAAACAATGAACTTCTTATCTTAACATATTTTGTAACCATGCATATGAGTCAACTGTGTTCAAAGTATCCATCAAATTACTTTAAAACTACAATGCGTTGTGCAATTTTTTTGTCTTCTCCAAGTTCAATTGTGTTTTGTTTGTTGTAGTTTGCAATAAAATCTTCCTAAGCTGCGCATGACAGCCCCCCCACCCCACCCCACCCCTCCCCTCTACAGTGAATCATCAAACCATATTAAGTTAATAAAGTGATACCACAGTCGGTCCAGTAATGATCACTGCCGCCTGGGCCTCCTCCCACACACTAAGTAAACGAGTTGTCTTCAGCGAGATCAATCGATGACCGCCTCTGACAAGAGCCGTTTCTCAAAAGCAATTACACAACTGTTTGTCGTGCAGTGTCTCAATTCCCTTCCTTTTCATTAGTGTGCAGGACGGCATGCGTGTGTGTTTGTACAGTGTATTGTGTGTGCACACAGATGAGCATGTGTGTGTTTGATATGTGTGTGTCTGTGTGTGTGCACTCAAAGTCTGTGTGCACACTGGGCAAAATGAATGGATGTACAGTAAGTGTGTTTGTGTGTGTGCGTGTGTGTGTGTGTGTGTGTGCTTGCGTGCGAGTGTGTGTGTGTAGGATTATATGTCAGAGTAAAAGAAGGGGAGGGGTTGCCTCTCCTTGTCTGCGTCATAGAGGAACCCCATTAGACAGGATGAGCCTTTTAGTGCTATTGAGGCACAAGGCTCACCTATGTCAGACGCTAAATCACCGCTGAATAGACAGCTGCCGGGACTCATGCCACATCTATGTACCTACATCGCTTTTCTACCTGCACACCCTCTGTCCTGCCATAACTTACTCTGGACAGATGGAAACATACCAGACGACCACAGACTTGTTCTAAAATGATAACTTTCTCTAAACAGCTTCATTTTCTTCCAAAACTTTGAGCATTGAGCAGTGTTAACCTGTTCAAGCAGCGACTTCATGGAAGACTATAAATATGTTGCTAAAAAAAAAAAACTCTCTTAGTATTTACCAACCTTCCGACAAAATTAACAGCCTACCTACATACGCATCAAGCTACGAACTAGGAGCCCACTTTACTTGTGGTTTCTAGAGGGTTAAGGGGTACGGTTAAGCATTCTTTTGTGATGGTTAAGATTAGTGTTAGGGCTGCTCCGGAATGCATTATGTCGGTGACGGGTCCCCGCGAATGTGGAAAGACAAGGTTGTTGTTGTTTGTGTGTACTTAAGAGAAAAGGAATGGACACACCTTTGTCTCATAAAGATCTGAGAAGAGTTCTGTCTTAACTTCAGCTGTGTGTGATGATCTATGTGATCATCTACTGTGTGTGTTTTTACATGGCCTTTTAAAATCAATTGAACAGTGTGTGGTGTGGTTGTGTCACAGTTGAACTAAAAAATAAATGTGTGTTATATGTCATCTCTGTGGTATATTGTGTTCCAGCGTGTGGGTGAGTGTATCCCTATATGTGAATGCTTACGTATATGGGATCATTATTTTCAGCATGGGTGTTCCTTTCAGCTCATCTGCATCTGACTTCACCCCAGGGAGCTGCACAGGCCACCCTGACTCCTCCAAAGTTTTCTTCCTGACTTCCTGAAAAAACTTTGGAGCGCTGAGTCGATACGGTAACCTTTGAAGCCAGGCCTACCCGAGCTGAGATCAACACACCCACCGTAGTGTAAGTTATTACTGGGGACACAATGACCACTATGTCTGTTGCTGCTGCTGCTGCTGCTGCTGCTGCTGCTGCTGCTGCTGCTGCTGCTATGGTATTATTGGATGTGAACAAACGTTATGCTATATGTCACCTTAATGGCTCAGCTCTATTAGACCAGTCAAGTATCTTGTGTGTAAATGTAAAAAAAAAGTGCACACCTGCAGAATTGATGCCAACACACGAGTTGTGTTATTGATACTCCTGGGCATGTAGGACGGCTGTGCTATATGTCAGCATAATGGCTGAGCTCATTAAAGAGGTGATGGACTGTACACGGATGTTTCAAGTCATGCACACACATACACTTAAGTAACACACACAATGGTTTCATTGCATGAGTTCAAAAGCTATGCGACTGTGTCAGTGTTGGGACTATTAAGAATCTCATTTAGAAACCAAAAATCAGTGCTTGCAAAACACACATGAAGGTGGACAAACAAGTTCAGTCTTCTGTAAATACATGTATACCAAGCATCAACCTCCGGCGCTGAAAAATGAAGCTAACACTGATGTACCAAAAACTGCAGTTCCTCTACTGACCACTAGAGTCTGGCTCCAACAGAGTCAATCCCCATAGACTCCCATGTTAAAATGTCCAACATTACAGACTGGTACAAAAGAAAATATTTTGGTCTCTATTCTTAATTCCCCCCTCCATGACAACTGTAACTTACCTATTTAAATTTTATTAATGCTTAAAATTATGCATAATTGAGGGCGTGGCTGCTTTAAGTGATAGGTGGGTGCAGTCACAGTTGGCAGTTTATTTGCTGGTTCCACCTTCTCCCTGGTGTTATGCATAATGGGTTACTGTTTTAGCTTAATGCAATACTTCCATTGAACAATGTTATTAGTTCCACATTTGCTTCAAGTCAAAATGTGCTTCAGGTCCTTTCTAATAAGGGAAACCTTTTCCTCAGATTATTTTATTTGAATAATTATACAAGACAAAAATGGTGAAATTATCAAGTATTTAAAAACAACTTAACAACTTATTTTATCTTATGATCGCGTGAGGGGGATCCAACTCCCAGCCTGGGAACCACTGACTAGACTATTGTCCAGACTCTGCTTCAGCTCCAGGATGTAGTGGTAAACATATAAATATTATGTGGCTTCAAAATGACCAGCCAAACAATGAGTGACACCACAGAAAGTCAAGGCAACTTCAATACTCCTTTAAGATCTGAAGCCACAAAACATGTGTTTGTTCAAGGGGCACGACTGTCAGTGTTTCTCTGCTGACAGCTATTCTTTTTGTTCACTCCAACTAAAAAAAATAATTAGAGTGAAGTTGGCTCGATATTAGAAGTCAGATGTTCAGTGGATATTTGTTGTTTCTTTTTCAATAACTTGTAAAACAAATGATTAAAACCAGACTGATTCTGTGTGTTTGTGAGTCC